AATCAATGTGATACAATACATTAATAAAAGAAAGAACAAGAACCATATGATCCTCTCAATAGATGCAGAAAAAAGCATTTGATAAAGTACAGCATCCTTTCTTGATTAAAACTCTTCAGAGTGTAGGGATAGAGGGTACATACCTCAATATCATAAAAGCCGTCTATGAAAAACCCACAGCAAAACTCATTCTCAATGGGGAAAAACTGAGAGCTTTTCCTCTAGGGTCAGGAACATGGCAGGGATGTCCACTATCACCACTGCTATTCAGCATAGTACTAGAAGTCCTACCCTCAGCAATCAGACAACAAAAAGAAATCAAAGGCATCCGAATCAGCAAAGAAGAAGTGAAACTCTAACTTTTTGCAGATGATATGATACTTTATGAGGAAAACCCAAAAGACTCCACCCCAAAACTGCTAGAACTCATACAGGAATTCAGTAAAGTGGTAGGATATAAAATCAATGCACAGAAATCAGTTGCACTTCTATCCACCAACAACAAGATAGAAGAAAGAGAAATTAAGGAGCCAATCCCGTTTACAATTGCACCCAAAACCATAAGATACCTAGGAATTAATCTAACCAAAGAGGCAAAGAATCTGTACTCAGAAAACTATAGAATACTCATGAAAGAAATTGAGGAAGACACAAAGAAATGGAAAAAGGTTCCATGCTTATGGATTGGAAGAACAAATATTGTTAAAATGTCTATGCTATCTAGAGCAACCTACACATTTAATGCAATCCCTATCAAAATACCATCAACTTTTTTCAAAGAAATGGGACAAATAATCCTAAAATTTGTATGGAACCAGAAAAGACCCCGAATAGCCAGAGGAATGTTGAAAAAGAAAAGCAAAGCTGGTGGCATCACAATTCTGGACTTCAAGCTCTATCACAAAGCTGTAATCATCAAGACAGTATGGTACTGGCACAAAAACAGACACATAGATCAATGGAACAGAATAGAGAGCCCAGAAATGGACCCTCAACTCTATGGTCAACCAATCTTTGACAAAGCAGGAAAGAAAATCCAATGGAAAAAAGACAGTCTCTTCAACAAATGGTGTTGGGAAAATTGGACAGCCACATGCAGAAGAATGAAACTGGACCATTTCCTTACACCACACACAAAAATAGACTCAAAATGGATGAAAGACCTAAATGTGAGACAGGAATCCATCAAAATCCTTGAGGAGAACACAGGCAGCAACTTCTCCGACCTCAACCACAGCAAATCCTTCCTAGACACATCGCCAAAGGCAAGGGAAGCAAGGGCAAAAATGAACTGCTGGGACTTCATCAAGATAAAAAGCTCCTGCACAGCAAAGGGAACAGTCAACAAAACCAAAAGACAACTGACAGAATGGGAGAAGATATTTGCAAATGACATATCAGATAAAGGGCTAGTATCCAAAATCTGTAAAGAACTTCTCAAACTCAACACCCAAAGAACAAATAATCCAATCAAGAAATGGGCAGAAGACATAAACAGACATTTCTACAAAGAAGATGTCCAAATGGCCAATAGACACATGAAAAAGTGCTCAACATCACTCGGCATCAGGGAAATCCAAATCAAAACCTCAATGAGATACCACCTCACACCAGTCAGAATGGCGAAAATTAACAAGTCAGGAAACGACAGATGTTGGCGAGGATGCGGGGAAAGGGGAACCTCCTACACTGTTGATGGAAATGCAAGCTGGTGCAGCCACTCTGGAAAACAGTATGGAGGTTCCTCAAACAGTTGAAAATAGAGCTACCCGACGACCCAGCAATTGCATTACTGGGTATTTACCCCAAAGATACAAATGTAGTGATCTGAAGGGGCACGTGCACCCCAGTGTTTATAGCAGCAATGTCCACAATAGCCAAACTATGGAAAGAGCCCAGATGTCCATCAACAGATGAATGGATAAAGAAGATGTGGTATATATATACACAATGGAATATTATGCATTCATCAAAAAGATGAAATCTTGCCTTTTGCAACTACATGGATGGAACTAGAAATAAGCGAAATAAGTCAATCAGAGAAAGACAAGTATCATATGATCTCACTGATATGAGGAATTTGAGAAACAAGACAGAGGATCGTAGGGGAAGGGAGGGAAAAATGAAACAAGACAAAACCAGAGAGGGAGACAAACCATAAGAGACTCTTAACCTCAGGAAACAAACAGGGTTGCTGGAGTGGTGGGGGGTGGGAGGGATGGGGTGGCTGGGTGATAGACATTGGGGAGGGTATGTGCTATGGTGAGTGCTGTGAATTGTGTAAGACTGATGAATCACAGACCTGTACCCATGAAACAAATAATACATTAGATGTTAGTTAAAAAAAAAAAAAAAAAGAATTAAATGCTCTTTTACCTACTAACATAAGAAATTTTAAAAATATTTAAAATGCATCTTATCATTCTTAAATTTTTTTTTGCTTTATTCAGACTGAAAACAAAAGACATGCTTTCTTTTATCATTTTGAAAGGACTTCTGAGGCACCCTGCTGCCTCAGTTGGTGGAGCACACAACTCTTGGTCTCAGGGTTGTGAGTTCAAGTCCCATGCTGAGGGTAGAGATTACTTAAAAATAAAATCTTTAGGGGCACCTGGGTGGCTCAGTTGGTTAAGCGACTGCCTTCGGCTCAGGTCATGATCCTGGAGTCCTGGGATCGAGTTCCGCATCGGGCTCCCTGCTCGGCAAGGAGCCTGCTTCTCCCTCTAACCCTCTCCCCTCTCATGTACTCTCTATCTCTCTCATTCTTGCTCTCTCAAATAAATAAATAAATCTTTAAAAAAAATAAAAATAAAATCTTTAGGGCACCTGGGTGGCTCCCTCTCCCCCTGCTTGTGTTCCCTCTCTCGCTGTGTCGCTCTCTGTCAAATAAATAAATATTTTTAAAAAAGAAAAAAAATCTTTAAAAAACTAAAAAATAGGGGCGTCTGGGTGGCTCCAGAGGTTGGGCGTGCAACTCTTGGTTCTGTCTCAGGTCATGATCTTGGGTTCATGAGATCAAGCCATGTGGGGGCTCCACACTGAGCAGGGGGTCTGCTTCTCTCCTGCCCCTCCCCCCACTTGTGTGCTCTCTCACTCTTTCTCTCTAAAATAAATGGATAAATCTTTTAATAAAAAAATAAATAAATAAAAGGACTTCTCAATTTTTTAAAAAAATACTTATTTGAGGGAGAAAGATCATGTGCTAGGGGGAGGGGCAGATAGAGAAGCGGGCTCCCCACTGAGCAGGGAGCCTGTAGCTAGGCCACATCCCAGAACCCTGGGATCATGACCTGAGCTGAAGGCACATGCTTAACCCACTGAGCTACCCAGGTACCCCAGGGCTTCTCAATTTTTTAACTGTGATCTGATGAAAACATTTGACAAGCACTTCTATAAAACTGGATTACCTCAGTAGTGTATGAACCAGTCTTTAAAATCTTTAAATTTTATAAATGATTCATATTGAGTCATGAAATTTGTAATTATGAAGAAATGATAAATGAATGATTTTGACAGCCAGTAGGTCTTCAGCTGCTTGATTCATTCTTTTGATGACCATTTTTAAAAATTTATTTTATTTTTTAGAGAGAGAACAAGCACACATGTGAGCAGGGGATGGGGTGGGGAAAGGGTCAGAGGGAGAGAGAGAATCTTAAGCAGCCTCCGTGCCCAGCATGGAGCCCCACGCAGGGCTGATCTCACAACCATGAGATCACAACCTAAGCCGAAACCAAGAGTCAGACGCTCAACCAACTGAACCATGCAGGCACCTCTGATGACTATTTTTTTTTTAATTTTATTTATTTATTTGAGAGAGAATGAGAGAGAGAGCACAAGAGGGGGAGGTTCAGAGGGAGAAGGAGACTCCCTGCTGAGCAGGGAGCTCTATGCGGGACTTGATCCTGGGACTCCAGGATCATGATCTGAGCCGAAGTCAGTCACTTAACCAACCAACTGAGCCACCTACGTGCCCCCCCATTGACTATTTTAAAAAGGAATGGCCTGCTATATCCTTTTTAATTTTAGCAGTATTAAAGTAAAATTTAATATGTTAATTAAAGTTATAAATTATATTCAGTTACATTTTCTTTGAGCTTTGTTATCCTAAATTACTTTTTTACAAAGAGGTATATGTAAGTGTGTTTTCTTATCTCTGATGCTCCCACTGTTGTCTTTCAAGATAAACACAATGATGGAGAGAAGACTGCCTGCCTACAATACGCAGTGTAACACAGTTCACATACATTGTACTTCTCAAAAGCTGGGTCTTGGGCTAGGGGTAAGGAGAGAATTTGCTTTATCTGGAATAGAGAAATAACCTTACAAATGTTATGAGGTTGTTACTAGAATATTTAAATAGATGTAGCTTTTATGAAATAGCATCTTCACAGCCTCAAGCCCTAATGAAAAGTAATTAGGTAGTTGTTCAGGTGTTGACTGGGATATCTAGAAAGAAGCTGTCGGCACATACTGTCATCATTGCTTGACAATTCATTCACCTTTTTTTTTTAGGTTACACTAATTTCTCCTCTAATTTCATATGCTCCTTCTTTCAACCCTAGTCTTTCAGTAAAATTTGAGTTTGTTCTACTACTAATTATAACCAGCCTTATAGACTCCCTGGGACAATGCCCTATTTCTTCTATTCTTGTTCCTCCTCTGCCAGAACCCACCTCATAATCCAAAATTCATTTGAATGTGGAAAGTATCCATATTTTGCAGGTAGCTCTATATCAGTCAGCTCTATTTAACCTTAGCTTCTGTCTCTTTGCAAAGAATAAGACCTTAATTCTGAATTTAATGAGATGGGTTTCTCCCTTTCTGGTCAACCATGTGAATAAGTCTACTTTTTGAAATTACTGTAAAATCATCAAAAGTTGGTTGTTACTTTTTCACTTGTTGGTTTCCTAATCATTTTACGTAATGAGGCATTTTCATGACAGTTCTTAGTTTTCTGGTGTGTTCTGTTACCTGCTTCAAAATAAACTCTTGTGTGTTAGGTACACTCCCTGCAGTTACAGAGGAATGGAAGAGAGACTACCTCACGGCAGCATGTCACGACTGACGGATCACTCGAGGCACAGTAGCTCTCACCGGCTCAATGAACAGTCCCGACATAGCAGCATCAGAGACCTCAGTAATAATCCCATGACTCACATCACCCACGGTACCAGCATGAATCGGGTTATTGAAGAAGATGGAACCAGTGCTTAAATTGTCCGAAGGTGGAAAACTTGCGCTATTTAAAAAGCAGACTTTATTCTTTGCCTTTGCTTGACTGATTGCTGTAACTCACTGTTATCATGCTTTCAGTCAGGTGCAGATTGTGTCCATTGGAAAAGTAAACTTTTACTTTTTATATTGCATCAAACTTGGAACATCAAGGCATCAAAAATGCTAATAATTATACCATCACATAAATAATTCTTATTTCTAGGTTATGAAGAGATAATTATTTGTCTGGTAAGCATTTTTATAAACCCACTTATTTTATATTTAGAAAAACCCTAAATGTGTGGTGACTGCTTTGTAGTGAACTTTCATATGATATCAACTAGTTGTGAGATAACATTCTGGTAGTTGTATTAATAAGACGAAATTTCAGAATTAAGGAAATTTTCTATGCAAGGCTTATTTCTCAGATGAATAGTTGGACTTTGTAGTTTTCTTTCCACTAAGTGAAGAAGAACTATGTTTTTAAACTGTCGGAGAATTTGATAAATCAGCAAGGGTATTTTAGCTAATAGGATATAAGATCAGCAGAAGAATCTGAATAGTCTACTGAAGGCTCTTTAAAAATTCTATCAAAATAATCTTCATCCAGAGACATACAGGATTAGGATTTGCAATGGAATAAAAGGCGGAGATGGACATTTTTTCTCTATAATTGTGCTCTTTATTACTTTTGTAAATATTACTTTTACTGGCTATGTTTTTATAACTTAACCATATGCATGGTGGAAGAAGTTTAATTTGTAGTCATCTTTTCCCATGTAGTAGTATTGATTCACAGAGAACTTCATGTTCAGATCTGTTCCATGGAGGCATGTAATAAGAGAAACATCACACATTATAAACTTTTTTGTGGGAATCACAATTACAAAATGGCAAAATGTTTTCTCTATATTCTTTGTTGTAGTTTTCTACAGTGAGATGTGATCTTGCCAAAGCCACCAGATCGTGGTACCCAGGCCCCTCCTATCAGTGACTTGATTGTCTGCATTTGCATTGCCCAGTAGCCATTAGGCTACAGCTTTTTGCCCCACGTTCTTGTTTTCAGACTCTGGATCTTTGTTTTTTACAGTTGAAATATATATAAACTAAGTCCAAAGTGGTGATTGAGGTATTTGAAAATCATTGTAACTAAATGAAGCATGATTAGTCTTGCTGTGAAGTATAATATTTAGTCTTACCAATATCAATTCAAAAATGTTTGACATTTTGTCGTGTACTGTTTAAACAATTTACAATAAAAACTGCAAACTTTATTAGGCATGAAATTGCTTAGAAGGGAAAGAAAAATTGTGGAAAATGCTGGATGTGTTTTATAGAAAAGCGTATTTAAAAAGTTGTCCTCAGCCCTGACTATAGATAAGAATCCCTTGCGGAACTTCTGATGCTCAACACCTTCCTCTCATTCAGAGGAGAATTAGTAGGTTTTTTTAAAAAGCTTTCTAGGTGATTCTGATCTGCAGCCAGGCTGCAGGCTGTTTCAAACTAACTTGCCGCCTGATAATGAGCTGATGGCATCATATTATATCACATAAATATCTAGCTGGACTCAATGTTGTGCTTTTGTATCATCACCTGATATACAACTTTTCTTCATTTTATTGTCCATTATAAATGTGGAATTTGGGGCCCCACCCCTAAAGATTCATATTCAGTAAGTAAAGTCCAATTTTAAAGTCTGTAGTTCTAAAAATACTACAGGTGATTCTTAATGCAGGTAATCCAAGAATCACACTTGGGAAAATATTCCAGGACTCTAGAGAGGCCTGGCTTTGTCATACGCCAGTTTTGTCACCTTTAACAAGTAAATTTCTCTGAGCCTCAGTTCCCTTGTTTATAAATGAAGATAGAAAATAAGTACCTACCTCACAAAGTTGTCAAATGGGGATCACATGAAAAATCATATGAAAGCTTTTTGAAAACTGTAAAGCATTATGAAATATAAGGGATTAAGATTATTAAGGATTTAACGGGGCGCCTGGGTGGCTCAGTCGGTTAAGCGACTGCCTTCGGCTCAGGTCATGATCCTGGAGTCCCGGGATCGAGTCCCGCATCGGGCTCCCTGCTCAGCAGGGGGTCTGCTTCTCCCTCTGACCCTCCCCCCTCTCATGCTCTCTCTATCTCATTCTCTCTCAAATGAATAAATAAAATCTTTAAAAAAAAAAAGATTATTAAGGATTTAAGAGATTTGTTTGAGGGCTACTGTAGTACATTCCTTGACATGTGTTTAATTCATGTGTACTTTTTTCCTCTCCTTTAAAATAAAAAATACCAAGAAATTAGGTGTTGAAAAAAAAGGCTTTCATCAAGTACAAAAATCAGTTTTCTGATAATTTGTATGTCATATTTTTTCAAAGTACGTATGTCTTATTGTTTATGATTAGCTCTTTATAGAACATATTTGAACATTTAGCCCCAAAGCATTTTTCTTTTTCCTCTGTCTTCATCGTCTTTCTCCTTGGAACTGGAGTTAGTACTAGATAGGCAGACTCTAATTTCCCTCATAACTGACAATTAGTAAACCTTTCCTCTGAAGGCCAAATTTACAACAACTCATTTATGCAGTAACTTAGTAATTCATAAGGCTTTTTTTCTGAGAATCTCCCCTGAGAACAGCATGAGGACCAAAACAAACATTCAGAAACAAAAATAAGTTAAAATAGAAGGTACCAGTTTGAGCTCAAAGATGTTGTCATCCATCGCCATCTGCATTATATTATCAATTGCCAAAATGTTAATTGATTTTCTTGTACAAGTAGGCCAAGTGTAGACAGTTATGAATATCTTAACTTTGTGCTCCCTGTTTTTTATATATGCATTTTATCTTCTTTGTTAAACTCACTGTCAGCATATATGTAAATGCTATGTTGACATTTCAGTTACTTTAAGTATCTTAATTTTGCTCCACAAAATTTATTTAATATCATCAATGCATCGTTTTAGATACAGTATTTAGTTTGGGTCATGTTATTTATCAAACTGGTGCTTTAAATTAAGAATTTTTTTTAAGAAACAGTTAAAGAACTATGGCAAACCAGCAATTTCAAAGTCTCAGTTCCTTTAAACCAACTTGAACAAGTTGGGACAGCTTTCTTACCATCTGTTTAACTTTAATTTGTGTTTTGATTGGCATGTGATAATGTTTAGTATTTTATTTATACAGCTGACAACTGAGAAAATAATAGTTCTCTCTAAAATGTTAATATATAATCAAGAGGCTTTCAAAAAGTACTTCGATTTCACCAATACTGTTTAACTTGTTCAATAATTAAAGCAAAAGATAATATTAAGCTCAAAACAATAATTGGTTTCAAAGAAAAATTGATTAATCACAACTACAAAGTGCTTAGTATATAGTAGGTTTTTCAATAAATATTTATGAATGAACAACACATGTCATAAAACTCACTTTTAGCCTTAGTAGTGAGATTCTCACCTCAAAGGAATTTGAAGGATCTAAATTTAAATTGAGTGAAATGAAGTCTCTGCTTTACCAGAATAACATGTGGCAAGTAATAAATACGTAACTTGCACAAGAAATATATACACAAACTTGTACCAACACTTTATTAATTTTAAAAGGTGAATAGCAATTCTTAGAAGTATTTAAGCTCTTGTTGGTTTTATGTTAAGTTAGATCTTTGTAGACTAGTTGGGTAAATGAACATTCAAGCAAACCTTTATTAGTAATGATTTTCAGCTTCTTAGAGCAGATGTATGAAAATTCTAAGAATCTCTTTAATTTAGAAAAAATTTACTACGTTTTAGCCTACCTCATTAGTTTCTTTGTGATAAGAGCTGGATATAACAAGTTGTAACTATCTTGGTGGGGCTATATCCCTGTGATATAAAAGGAACTACTTAAAAAAAAATTTTAGTGGATCATTGGCCAGAGCTTAGAAAACAGTAACATACCAAAATTTCATTATGATGATATTTATACTGCTTTTGACATGCCAAAGCTATATTTACATATTACCACTTGGATGACTTACATAGTCTAGTGCAGTGAAAATTCCATTAGGCTTGGAATTCAGAGACCCATAATTATGATGTGAGCTGGACAGGTCATTTAGTCTCCCATTTCTTCAGTCTAAAATGAGGATAAGGTAATTTTTGGTCCCCAAACCTACCTCACTGGACTTTGGTTGTAAGGATCAAATGAGATAACATGTGTTATCGTGCTCTGTAACCTGTAAATGGCTCTACAGATATTATTTGTTTTTGTTAGAACTTGGGGGTTATAGAAAACAAGGATATGGTCTTCAGTAGTATTTAGCAGCAACAACAAAGTAGGCAATTAGACCATTATTCGTTTGGTATAATCTTTGAGTCAACAATTCAATTAACCTTTTAAAAATGAGGTTCTTTTTCAAGAGTAGCTATGCCCTTAAACTGTGTTAGCTGTTTAATATATGTATAACAGAGCATGATCTCAAATTTATACAGTTAAATTTGTAGGTCACTCTCAACAGGAATTTGGGGATCTCCATTATATTTTTCTTCTGATATGAAATTATATAAATTGACTCCATTGAAACAAGAAAAATATAAACAGTATAGACCCTATAACTTTTTTTCCTTTGAGGACTTTCATCTGCCTAATTCTTTCTGATTAAGAACAAATTTTAAAAAGTTAATAACCATAACTTGATATTCATCATGGCAAAACTTTAAATTTTAAGTTGTAACATTATCTTAATTGTCTGTTTGTATATATAATTTTTTAAACCTACATAAAGTAAGGATTTTGCCATTCTTTTCCACACATCAACACACAAAAGAGCATTTTTATGGAACCTAGATTTACAAAGGAATTCATGATTCTTCTAAACTTATGCCTTTTCAGATTAAAATAAAGTGTTCGTAGTCAATCCATTTGTTTCCCAGTAGCCGCATTTATACATTATTCTTAAGTCATTTCTGTTTTATATGAAAAGAATTACATTGACATCTCTTCATAATTTAGTTTTTTTTGTTCCAGTGATATGAGGGGGAAAGGAATAGGAGGACTAAGCAACCTTACCCTTTATCTGACTGTACACAGTCTCCTGGGATTTTTTTCTAATTTTAATCCTATATTTCTTTAATAGTCAAACTGATACAGGATTATAATTTTCTCCCAAGATCCAAAATCTTCTAGGAAAGAAAATGTTACGGTCCACCTAAAACCAGCCATTTCTTGGACATTCCCATTTGGTTGATTTGCAGAGATTTAATATAATAAGTTAATAGTTATTCCATGATCTCTAATTAGAAAATAAAATTTTGTTGCCATAAAGATAAAAGAAAGTAAAGTGTCACTTATATTTTAGTCAAATCCCACACCGATACATTACTTCCTACAAAAGAGAGTAGTTCAGTCTTTTTAAATGCATTAAAGAATAGTTCCCTTCAGATTATCTTTTTTAAATGATCATTTATCTCAGGACATCTATTGTGTCCTTTCTTGGACATTTTCATTGGTATGCTAGCATTGCTCTTAATTTATTCTCATTTTATTGGCTACTGTCACCAGTTTTCCCTGATAAATAAGTTTTTTACTTTGTAATAATTCAGAATTTGAAGATTCAGTGTTCTGTTGTGGTAATTACCATTTACTAGTAACTTTAGTATTTATAAGACAATGATATTTTTCAGTTTGTTATTTTATCATATTTCCTGAAGTAGGGTGAACTACTTTATTATTATTGTTGTAGCAGCCCTAAGGTTTTTGTTATATATTAAGTCAGCTTGTGTATATTGCTAACTTGCAAATATTTCTTTGTGTTGTGCTTATTGACTTAAGAGAAAAACTTTAGAGTTTCATAATTTCTGTTTTCTGAATTGGCAGATTTCTTTCCCTAATGCTTAGTACCAATGCATTATGTTATTTTTTAAATACCACAGAATTTTGAGTCAGGAGACCTGATTTCTAGTATTGCCTCTGTTTTCAATGAGCTTTGTAACTTTGAAATTTTACCTCTTGGGACCTCAGGTTTTCTCATCTGTAAATGAAAGAAAACAAGGGGCTTAGATTAGGTAGTGTTTCAAATTCCACCTGCCTGTAATTTGGTTGTCCCTTACCATTTTGTAGTCATTATTCTGGCTTACTTTTATCCTTGTTATTCTTCCCATGAACTATATTTACTAGGTCAGCCTGTACTGTTAATGCAATCTATACTTAAATTGTTAGGATTCAGATATATTATTAACTTCGTTTTCCAGTTATGATTTTGAGTAATTTTAAGGAGGAAATTATATTACAGATAATAAAAGTTTAAAGAAATAAAAGTGAAAGAAAGGTTACAAATAATTGACATGATCTTTTTTTTTTCCCCATAGGAAAAGTCTCCTAAAGCACCAACATAAGCACCTTAAAACTGATATACAGGAGAAAAATGACATAAAATTTTGTGGTGTTTCTCTTAAATATGAATATAGCTAGTTAGCCTAAACTTTAAACAAAATGTATTCATGATAAAATTAGTGAACAAAGCAGTGACAGCACTGGCCCATATAGCTAATTTAAAAGCTCTCAGGTTTTACCAACATTAAAATGATTATAAAATATAAAAGTCATTTCAGAGGAGTGGATTGAAATTTTTCTGCTCAATAATTATTCTTAAAATGTTCTTAGATTCATTGAATAAGTATAGTTGCCAGATTGCCATGAGCAATGTCCTGCTCTAAATTATTAGAGATAAATGTGGTTATTTTTAATTTTTTTCTGGCTATGCAGAAGATGTTTTCATAAAGCCTCCTTAACTATCTAATAGGATGTAGAGATTCCATTAGTACCATCTCTCAGCAGAGTTCTCTTGTACATTTGTGTTCTCTGAGAACCAGGCCAAGGAGGTTCCTGTTACTTTTAAAGATCTTTGTCTTTCGCTGATTATCTGCATTAGCTCATATCAACCTATTGAACACAGTGGTCTATAGATTTATAATCAAGGTATTGGGTTTGGTGTCTGATGGGTAGGGAAGAATAATGGAAAGTTGATGTAGGAAAATGTACTGGTTTCTGATGTGTTCTTTGGCTATGCTTGATTCCTTGTCTTTGGTCAGTTCACTGTATCAGATAACTTTCCTGGCTTCCAGAAATTAAATTAGATGACCAGGTTCTCTCATTTAGGCATAGCTATGTTACAATATTATTTTGTAATTGCCCGTACAGGAAAAAAAAAAACAAAACCTCTATTTTCAGTTCTCTGGCTCTGCATGTTTTGTTACTACATTTGTTAAACTTGAATCTGAGGTCCCAACATTTCATTGAAGATTTTCTGGGTTTCGATAATGGGAGATTCTGTAAGATAAAGCAGATAATCCTAGCGTGATTTAATTTATATTTATCCATCCACCATTTTTCTATTTCTCTAACTACTTCTCCCCTCCCCAGTTTTGAAAAGAACATTTATAATTGTCTTCCTTTACTCCCTTAGCCCTGCCTCAGATAATTTTTCCCTGAACTACTCCTGTCGGTAGAAACATTTAATAAGAAATAATTCTATATTTCTGGGATAAAATCAACACAAGTTCTTTACATTGAACTGAGGTGAATATGTACTTGAAAATACTGTATTTTCTTTATATGTGAACTTAAAATTATTTTTTTTAATCATAAAAAGGATTCTCTCATTTTGAAAATATTAGTCTGGAAGTTCTCTTGTCATCAGGTGCTATCTCAGCCTTTGCTGTGAGTTATCAGAGTAAATCTGAATTCTTTATCATTCATCTTTTTAAAAAAAATTAACTTCTCTAGAATTATTCCATTTCACATATCTTTAACACCAACTTCAACTTTTCTGCTTTTTTTTCAAATGCAAAATTTTATTTTTGAGAGTTTTATTTTTTCATTGAAGTTTCAAAGTATTACATATTGTGAAGGAGTGACTGCAGTTTAGACATTTACTTTGGTACGATAAAGATATTACCACCACCATTGATTTCCCCAGCCCCAAAAAGAGAAGTTCATTTGACACTCAAAAGCT